AACAAGGTCTTGATTTGTTTTTGTGACACAAGTGTCTGTCACGCCAGCCACGAGACCTCGTAAGTCGCATAAGCAGTTGGGGTTAATTGCTTCCTAAGCTCCATTCTGGTTCTGAAATTCACTCATTTTATGAAGACACGCTGGGGACATGCATGGAAAGAACCTTATTCATGCTGCTGCTTCGGTCATTATTGTGTGTCCTCGAGTCTGTCAATCTTTGGAAAGGCGACAACAGAGAGGATACTGGTAAACCCAGCATCACCAACACGTAGATAATTCAGCAGAAAACAAATTTTAAAAGCTCATCTCTGTTTTGATATGAGTTCGTGGCCTTCTCCTGGACACTTACTCCCCTTATTTTTCCCAAGTGAGGAAAAAATAACACAGGCATGAGGTTACAAATGAAAATTCTCCTCAGTACACTGAAATATTCGCTCCTGTTCAGTTTTGAGCTTCTCCAAAGAGCGTGTTCAAGACCACAGTGGGACACACTTCTAGGTGCAGGAACGGAAGAGCGGGCTCAGCTCCGTAACCCAGTGGGGTGCCTGCCAGAGAGGTGAAGAAACCAAGTTCCCTGTTCCATAGACGGCTTTATTTTAAAGGCTACTTCTAAATAAATACCTAATTTTGTGTCTTCCAAATATTCAGAAAATGAAAAATGTTTGCATTGGGCACTTAAGGAAAAAATGTAGTATGGAAAGTCATTCTACCATGAGTCTACAGGAGATGCTGTGGCTTCCTGTTACGTCCAAGATGCAAAAATACCTCAAAGTCTTCTTAGGAGAAAGACATTATATAGCTTATGATCACAGAACCTGAGGCAACCCCCTCTCCTGTTAGCTCTTGGCCAGACCAGTGGCTCTGAAAGCCTTTGTAAAAAAAAAAAGCTTACAGACATTAAAAGGGAGCAGTGTTACCGCTCCTGGGCATACATCCAGAAGGAACCCTACTTCAAAAAGACACCTGCACCCCAATGTTCACAGCAGCACTATTTACAATAGCCAAGACATGGAAACAGTCTAAATATTC